ACAGAAAATTTCCATGTTTTAAAACAGAAACTAAATTTATAAATTTAATTATAAAAATTAAACATAAAATCCATAGTCTCGTTCCATTGTCAAGCGATGTTAAGAATAAAACTTCAAGGAAATCTACGTAATTTATAAGCGCAGATAATATTATGAGTTTCTAAGGTTAAGGAAAATCTATTTTAATTTAGGGGTGGTGAGGTTTTAATTTTAAGTCTAATTTTTAATCTTAAGTCTAATTTTTATAATTAAATTTATAAACTTAGTTTCAGTTTTGAAACATAGAAATTTTTTGTGTCGCGATGGAATCATATTTGTAAAAAGAAAATAAATAATTATATATATATATATATATATATATATATATATATATATATATAACAAAATCTACATGAGAAAGTACCTAAAATAAAATTTAATATAACATTAAGCATTTATATCTATATATATATAAAAAAAAAAAACAACCCGAGACATAAAAATTGAACTTTTGTGAATCTTGGTGTAACTCAGTTTGTACGTGCGGAAAAACAAAATAAAAAAGAGAGATTTTGCAACAGGTCATAGTCAGTCAACTCAAAATGTCATTTCATTTATGCAAATCTACACTAAGTGTTTTCCTGTCTCCGAAGAGAGAATTGACGCGGATACAGATCAAAAGACTCACCGATATCTGAAACTACATACTAGCTTCCCGAAGTCGATAAGGTAGTACTTCCGTTTCACTTGTGAACTGTGAGTAATGACATTTTCTCAAATGTTTAAACTGAATCTGTCTCAGAAATTTTTTTCTTTTTTAGGAACATTGCTAATAATGAGAATAGTTATAATGAAAAGATTACATCCGCAGAAAACCAATGGACACGCACCTCTACATATAAAACCTTTGTTATAAAAATATAATTTACAGTTTTATATTTTATCCCAATTACTGAAAGTTTCTCTCCTATATTAATTCTGACTATGACAAATCACGAACGCTGCAATAAGGTCGCGTTGAAACTATAGCTTAAAATGTAAATAGCCCGGCTTATTAGAAAACATAAGAGACATTCAAATATTGGAAGGTGTCTTCCAGAAGCAAAACAAAGTATCTGTCTATATTTCTGAGATATTGTCATGTAACTATTTACATTATTTACATTGTTCGGACTGTTGTCCTCGTATTTATTGTCATATTCACGACGTTTCGGCCGTTGTACACCCGGCCTTCTTCAGGATCTGCCTATATTTCTGAGATGATGTATTGTAACTATTTACACTATTGACATTGTTCGGACCGTTGTCCTCGTATTTATTGTCATATTTACGACGTTTCGGCCAGCCTTCTTCAGGATCTGCCTATATTTCTGAGATAATACGCCCCGGCCTTCTTCAGCTAATATGCATTGGAATTTCCAACCGAACATTTTATTTCATCATCCGGGATAGATTATTTTAGCTCCCTGCTCTTGCCGAATATCCCAGTTTCATTTACTTCCCTTTAGTAACTAAACACTCCAAGTTTTTGTTCATCTCTGCTGTACCCAAGTATTTAACTTTCAACTCTTTAGTCATTGGATTAATTCTAACAACGCTTTTATTCACTGGGCCATGTCGGTTTGAAGAAGGCCGGAGCGTACAACGGTCGAAATGTCGTGAATATGACTATAAAGATGAGGCCAACAGTTCGAACATTGTAAATAGTTGTTGTGGAGTGATTTCACAGTGGAGGCTAGTGTTTGTATTAGGTCGGTCCTAAAATAGGTTCGACGTACAAAAACGTTAGGCACTTGATATAATAGGTATAACGCAGAGTAATCTTGTTGTGGTCGCTGATACTTTAGTATCCGACTAACTGTCGTCCAGCATCGACTGACTCACCGACTGACTCGTTACTCTTACTTATTATAGGTGGGAGAGTCTATTAACTATAGAATAGGTGTGTTCCACTATAACAATAGTATAAATCAAAACTAAGTAATTTTAATCTTTACGCCCCAGGCAAGGTGATAATTCCACTAAGACACAGGGGATTACTGGGAGTGGAAGAAAATAAGAAGACTTTAGTGAGGAGAAAGGACAATAAAAGAACAGTGTTCAGTATGACAGAAGATGGTATTAAACAACCGTTTGATGTTCATATGCAGCAAAGTGAAGCAAACCAAACCAAACCATTCAACTTTGATCATGATTGATTGACTTGTTTTTTACAGCTTATCAACGTTTTACTGGTTATTTAAAGCCAGAAAATATTTTTACATTGTAAGAATTGTTTTTTGTTTTGTTTTAGATAATAATGATTTACTGATACATGTCATAATAATTAACCCATAGCTGGAGGGGAGAAGAGATGGATTCATACATTTCCCAATAATATTTGCGCGTTAGTGAATATAACGAACTCGACTGGAATTGGAACTCGACTTCCAATTCAGAGCCGTTATCCTATGCCCCACCCGCACATTCAAACTTACAGCACCTGGTATTCCCAAGCAGCCACCCATCTGACCAGGCTCGACGTTGCTTAACTTCGGTGATCGTGCGAAACTTTAATTATTAAAGATTTAATTTTTTCTCAGAGGCTTTCACTCTCAGTAATCCCCCCCCCTTGCATCTTAGTGGCTTTATTGCCTTGCTTGGAGTGAAATGATAAAAACTAGTAGAAGAAACAAGGAAATTTCGATAGAAGCATGAAAACTGCTATGAAATATCAATTCTCCTTAATGTTAGTGAATGCTGAACAATTTCCCCACAGATGAAGAGGAGACTTAAGACGAGGGGAAAATGAATCTACAGACCGATATTGGGGATACTATGGACAGAACATGTGAACAATCGGGAAGTTTTAAGAAAAATGGGAACCAAAAGGGCACTGATACTTAAAATTAGAAAGAGAGAGTTGAAATTTCTTGGACAAATCCCGAGGAAAGAGGGTTGGAGAATTTGACACTCACAGGACATAATGAAACCCAGTGGAGGTGAGAGAAACAGAAAGTAGCCTACCTAACGGGCTTGTGTAAATGGATGGTGGAACAAGGATTGGAAGGGATAGAAAAAAATATTGCTAAGAACTACAAGGAAACTGTGGAGAACCACGATCGCTTTCGTCCTGAAGGAAACACACTAGGAATAAAAAGAAACAACTTAGACAATGGACGAAAAAATACATTTTTAAACAAGTAAAGACCTGCTTTTGTATACCCACTGCTACCGTAACTGCAACTAGTAATTTTTATAATGAGGAAAGAGGGTTTGGAAAATTTGATGCTCACAGGACAGATTGAAGGCAAGAGCGACAGAGGAAAATAACACGTAACCTGCCTATCGAGCTTGAGGAAATGGATGACAAAACAGAGTTTAGGAGAGATAACGGAAAGAAAACTTTTATTAATACAGCGTAACCCGGATATAAGAGAGTTGTCGGGACCGGAGAAGAAGTCTCTTATATCCGGGTTTCTCTTATATCCGGGTTTGGTCTATTTTATATACATTAATACAGGCTGTAATTTGGGACCAGAGAAAATCTCTCTTATATCCGGGTTTCTCTTATATCCGGGTTTGGTCTATTTTATATACATTAATACAGGCTCTAATCTGGGACCAGAGAAAATCTCCCTTATATCCGGGTTTCTCTTATATCCGGGTTTGGTGTATACAGGCTGTAATTTGGGACCAGAGAAAATCTCTCTTATACCCGGGTTTCTCTTATATCCGGGTTTGGTCTATTTTATATACATTAATACAGGCTCTAATTTGGGACCAGAGAAAATCTCTCTTATATCCGGGTTTCTCTTATATCCGGGTTTGGTCTATTTTATATACATTAATACAGGCTCTAATCTGGGACCAGAGAAAATCTCCCTTATATCCGGGTTTCTCTTATATCCGGGTTTGGTCTATACAGGCTGTAATTTGGGACCAGAGAAAATCTCTTATATCCGGGTTTCTCTTATATCCGGGTTTGGTCTATTTTATATACATTAATACAGGCTCTAATTTGGGACCAAAGAAAATCTCTTATATCCGGGTTTTCTTATATCCGGGTTTGGTCTATTTTATATACATTAATACAGGCTCTAATCTGGGACCAGAGAAAATCTCCCTTATATCCGGGTTTCTCTTATATCCGGGTTTGGTGTATACAGGCTGTAATTTGGGGACCAGAGAAAATCTCTTTATACCCGGGTTTCTCTTATATCCGGTTTGGTCTATTTTATACATTAATACAGGTCTAATCTGGGACCAGAGAAAATCTCCCTTATATCCGGGTTTCTCTTATATCCGGGTTTGGTCTATACAGGCTGTAATTTAGGACCAGATAAAATCTCTCTTATATCCGGGTTTCTCTTATATCCGGGTTTGGTCTATTTTATATACATTAATACAGGCTCTAATTTGGGACCAAAGAAAATCTCTCTTATATCCGGGTTTCTCTTATATCCGGGTCTCTTATATCCGGGTTATACTGTAGCTACAAAGGACAGGAAATTGTGGAGAGTAACGACCGTCAACGTGCTGCAGGGAGACGGCACACAGAAGAAAAAGAAGAAGAATTCTACCATTAAAAAGAAAGAAAGAAAGAAAGAAAGAAAGAAAGAACTAACGAGTTAACGTTTCTTTTTCTTCCTCTTCGCCAGTAACTACTGTCTCTGCTGTTGTTACGTTTGAAACTATCGTTATGCGAAACACTGATGTATTCTCGAGCATTCAAACTCCTTTCCACTTCTATTCATTTTACAGTTGGAGCCTTAGTTTACTGCTAGGTATGTTGAAACTTTTCTTGTGTTCTTATAACAAAATCATTACCAAGTCTATATTTATTATTTATTTAATATATACTCTTCCCGATACATATAGATAGACAATGTAAACCTCAGTTTTCTTGTCTTAACATTTGATTAGTAAACTTTTGAGTTTTATTACACGCAATGACATCGGGTTTTCTTATTTTATTTTTGAAAAGGCCGGTGTCATCTGTTGTTGCTATATCGTCCGAAATTTTAAAGAATTAAGAAGACTTACGGTCATACGATGTTGACGAACAGGTTCCGTACGGTCACCGAAATTAAGCAACGTCGATCCTGCTCAGTACTTAGATGGGTGACCGCTTGGGAAAACCAGGTGTGCTAAACTTCGATGTGCGGGTGGTGGTATGGATAATGACTGAATATTGTTAATCGAGGAGTCGAGTTCCAATCCAGTTGGGTTCGTTATATTCACTTACGCGCAAATACCCTATAGAAAGGTATGAATCCACCTCTTCTCCCACAGCTATGGGTTAATTAGTAAGATTTGTGTCACTAAATCATTATTATATTAAAAAAAAATCTTAGAATCTAAAAATAGTTTCTGGCTTTAAATAACCTATAATGTGTTGATAATCCGTAAAAAAAACGAATCAATTAATATAATTAAAGACTTTGTATTTAAAGAGAGGCTGTACTTGTTCAGAAATTAGATCCTCTTTGCATCTCTTGTGCTTTTATTTCTTGCTATTCTCTCCATGTTCTACTTCAGTTTCTCTTTCAGTTGTAACCCCCCTCTTTTAAAAGACGTTGTGCATTTAATAATTCTTCCTCCCTACAGTTTACTTCTCTATTTAATAACACTAAGTTGTGTATTGCCGTAACTGTTTTAAGATAGTACACTGCTTTCCTGTTGCTTTTGTTCACGGTTTTTGAATTCAGCGTTCACTTTTCTCCTAGACCCGTTGCCAACCAAGTCTAGAAATCTCACTCTGTCCAACTTTAAAGAAATCGTTTCAAGCTTTTCCCAAGTCGGAGGGAGCACAAATCAGCCGGAAATTGAATTCGGTTCGCAGGGACCATTTTTCGTGCAGTTGGCTGTTTGGCCAATCGCACCTCCACACAACTTAGAAAAGTGGTTGGCCCGACATTGAACTTGAATAAAAAAAATCACTTATGGAAATGAACAGTTTATTTATGACCTTTCCTTAATTGAGTAATATAACTGAACTTATTATTTTTATCAGTATCGTTTCTTTTGTGGAATTGGTAAATTAGAAGAAGCACATTCAAATTATCATTATTTTTTAGAATTCTTTTGCATTGGCTCAGCACTAGTACCGTGGGGTGTCCATTGATTGATTCATTCAGTCATTTTTACGGCTTATCAACACTTTGCAGGTTATTTAAAAACCAAAAAAAAAACATTTTAGATTGGAAGAATTTTTTTGTCGGGGAGTTGAGAAATAATAATGATTTAGTGATACAAGTCTTCTTAATTAATAAATAGCTACGGGGAGAAGTTGATTCATGCCTTTCTCCAAGGGTATTTGCGCTTAAGCGAATATAACGAATCCATTGTAAACCGAAACTCTCCGACTAGAAATTCCGCGCCATTATCCATGACACCACCCGCACATCCAAGCTTACAGCATTTACTATTCCTAAGCAGTCACCCATCCAGGTACTGACCAGATTCGACTTTGCTAAACCGCTGTTTCAACGAGATGTGGTCGTAATCGTGGGTTTTTCAAACACACAATTTAAAATTTAGTTTTTTTGTCTTGTTATATATTGCCTTAAATGAAATGTTTTTTTCTGGGACAATTTTTTTATACAGTGTCACCCGGATATAAGAGAGTTGTCGGGACCGGAGAAGAAGTCTCTTATATCCGGGTTTCTCTTATATCCGGGTTTGGTCTATTTTATATACATTAACACAGGCTCTAATTTGGGACCAGAGAAAATCTCTCTTATATCCGGGTTACACTGTAGAACAATTTTTAAAAAGCTTTTATTGTGAAAAAATTGAATTAAAAGGACAATAGTTTTTTCGTCCCTTACATTAAAAAAAGAATTAGTGAGTTTCAAACTTAAAATATGCAAAAAAAAAAAAAAAACAAAACAAACAAAAAACCTGTCATAACTTGACAGAGATATTCAGAAAGCCATCATTACAATTGAATTTTAAATCCCACTTGCTATTAACCTTGCGTTAATCACCTCGGATTTCTGAAAATGCATAGCCTCCTTTCGTCTCCCACCCGCGGCAATTGAGCTACAACTGAGCCACACTGCGTGCTACACACCCTGAGCCAGGAGAGTAGTGGGAAGGAGAAAAAAACAATTTGTCAATTAGGAATTACAAGTGTTTTAAAATATTGGGTAACAAAACAAGTTAACTTACTAAGGCAGGGTTAAAAAATAGTAAATAAAATATTTTGTCGGGTTTCAAATTACACTGAAACTTTTTTCTTTACTTGCTTTAAATATGGAACAAAACATAACCCATGACACACCTCCTGTTCGTTATTTTCTAGAATATTTGTTTTAAAAATCGAAAAAATAATCTGTCGTATTTTTTTAAGAAACTTATTTTTTTAATTCATTATTTTGTGAATTTTCATTTTCAATATTGCACAAAAAAAAAAAAAATCTTTATCGACCAGAGTTTTAATTTAGACGCTTTTGCAATATGAGTGATTATAAAAATAAATATTTTCTCTGGTATTGTTTATTCTCTTTTATTGTATTATTTGTAGTTTTGTTGTCAAGTTTTACACCCACGTCTGTTAATAAGTAAAACTTTAGTTCCATATTGTGGAATGAAAAACAAAACAAAAAAACCCCAAAAAAACAAAACAAAAAAACCCCCAAAAAACAAAAACAAAAAGAAAAAAAACGCTGACAGCAAAGTAACTGAAACATAGAACTCGAAAGTTTGGCAGCATGTAAGAAGCCCCATCCACTGATTTCGCTTGAATAAACAATCTTAATACTTACAAATAATTGATATGAAAGTTCCTCTCTGCTTTCGTTCATCAATACATTGACTCTGTTACTAGCACTACTACTAATATAAATTTTTATTACTACTGCTACTACAAAAACAACTCTAACGTCAACAGTAAAAGGTGACAGTCATGCCAATCGTTATCGGAGTACTGCGAACGGTTCCAGATAGTCTGAGGGAAAGAATTTGAGGAGCTGGAAATTAAAGGTTATGAACCGTCCGGACGACGGCATTACTGACAGGGTAGTGAGAAGAGCATTGGCATGCTACGTAGACTTGCTATCACTCAACCTTCACTATAGGCGACCTACTACTATTGGCTTAAACAAATAATAATAATAATAATAATAATAATAATAATAATAATAATAATAATAATTGCTTGTCACTTGGCCGCAACTATTACTACTGATACTGAAAATTCGGTACGGGGTTTTTTGAATCGCTACAACTGATGCCATTACTGCTACATGTATACATCAGCATCTTGTACTTTCCTTCTATATTTTCAGCGTGTATTTAACCGCGAGAACGAACAGATCTCTGTGGAGAGCTGAGCGAGGAATAAAAGAAAGAAAGAAAGAAAGAAAGAAAGAAAGAAAGAAAGAAAGAAAGAAAGAAAGAAAGAAAACAACATTATAAAGAAAAAAGTAACTGGAAAAAAAAAAAAAAAAAAAAAATTATAAGAAAGTTGCCACTTGCATCCAGTGATGGCTCCAAGAACGAACATCGTTCTTATTTCTAATGCCACGGATAGAAGTAAAGCTAATTACGGTCGAATAACAAACGAATAATCATTCGTGCACACGGAATCCACAATTCGAGGAATTTTAACCACTTTAAGGGTTATCGATACGTTGTCAATATATGTGTCTATATGCGGGCATATAAGCATTTATGTATAAAAAAAAAAGAAACTGTATTCTTGATTTATAAACTTACATGGGACATAGGAGAATAAAGAAGAGCTGTGACGAGACGAAAGTGTCCACATAAGGTAGGTAGATATTTGACAGTATATTAAAGATTGTTTTCCGTTATCTGTTCGCTGGCAAATCGGCCCAAACACCTGCATATATAAACACTTCGGGAGACGTGAGAGGTGGGAGTGCTGAAAATTTTTCTCGGTCTTCCGAACCAAATGTCTAAATCTGACCAAATGACCAGTATATAAGAATGCATTTTCGTAAAAATTGTTATCCCCTCCTTGGTCGGGCCGTGAACTTTTCAGCACCTCCTAATCTATGTCGCGATAGAAAAGTAAGAGGAGAATTTTCAGTGGTTAGCTACACATGTAGATTCACACGCGCACACACACACACGCGCGCACGCACGTACAGACAGAGACACATGCACAAACATATACAAGCATGCACGCACGCAAACACTCACATTTTCGCTTCTCCTCACGTGGATGCGCGCTTCGTGCCGCTTTCTTTCAGGACATCGGCGATCATGACTCTCCACAGCTTCTTTTTGATTGCTTAACTGAGATGCAAGTATTTCCCATTACAGCCCATTCGACCACTGATAATATAAGATAAAACACAGAGACAACGGCATCGACAGCGTTTCACTGGGACCTTCAGAATAGACGGGGCCGTGGCTAGGGCCCGCTGAGCCCCCGATGGGGGGGGGGGCATAATGACAGGAAGAACTCAAAACGAGCGTTCTGTTAAATAACTCAAGACGTCTTTTCTAAAAATTAAAAACTCAAAGTTCTTCCCTTATTGAAATTATTCCACAAATTCATTTTTTTTTCATTTTAGCTTATGTGGCACAAGGCCAGTTTTGGCGGGTTCTAGAATCAGATTGGCTTCGTTTTATGGAAAATGCATTTAGAGAAGGTCTTAAAGCAAACATTTCTGAGAGGGGCAATTATTGCTAGACACGATACTCAGCGTGGGGTTATGGTTAACAAGCTTGTGTCATTAACCATTAATAATGTCAGTGGGTTTAGTTCTTATGAAGTAACATGTACTTGTGGTAAATAAGACCTAGCCACTGATTCATATTTCTCGGTCAGTGATACACATTTGATGCACGTGTTACATTCCATTTCTCCGCCTATACACCCGCACACTCGTGTCACTCATAGATGGGTCTGCTCCTGTATGCCGTGTCCATTCAGGACGTGGGCGATCATGGCTCTCCACAATTTCCTGTCTTTTGTAACTCTTAAGAAATGGTTTCTTTTTGCTATCTCTCCTAATCCCTGTTCTAACAACTATTTAGATAAGCTCTCTAGGTGGATTACGCACTGATTTCTTCTCTCCTTCTCGCCTTCTGTACGCCCTATGAGTATCAAATTTTACAAGCCTTCTTTCCTCATTATGTGTCTGAAAAATTTCAACCGATTGTTTTTTA